GCTGATACTGGCCAAATAATGATACTCATCGATACCATACCAGTGAATAGCATTTATGAATTATTTCACTCTCAGATGTTTAAACATCTCATATTGTCCTCATACAGCTTTTTATAATGTGTTGTTTATTTGCAGTCATAAGACTTGTTTCACTGTACTGATATACAATGTAAATGTGAGGTATTTCATAGATTTGTCACAGGATTGGATCAGATTCATTGTTTTTTCGCTCCGATGTTTGATCCAGCATTTCCTGCTGATATCGGTCCGATACCCGATATACGCCGTCTCTAACAGCCAGACTAATATACAGATGCGCCAAAATAAAGAAAGAAAAAAAGAAAGAACTGAAGGAAGGAAAGACAAGCAAAGTAAAAACATAGAAGGACAGAAAATATGAAAAGAAAGACGGACGAAGAAAGAAAGAAGTGAGGAAAAGAACGAAAAGGAGGAAACAAACAGTCAAAATAACTTTACCTGGCCATGCGCGTGCCCGACAGCGCCCGGCGGCTCGTGCGCGCGCGGCTGTAGCTCGCGGAGCGGCGAGTCTCGCGGCGCACTGGAGACGGGCTGGAGACGCGGATGTGGCAGGAGGAAGAGGAGGCCAGCGCGCCCTCGAAGTGGCGCCGGTAGGAGGACATTCTCTCTGGACTTCTGCTCATACTTAGACCGGGAGGCTTCTTCAACACGGCTACAGATCCACTGCAGCTCTTCATTAATGATGGGGGTTTATATCCGGGCCTCTAACTCCGGCTCCACCCACCGAGGAATGTTGAACGTCAGTCTGAGACCGAGCAGAAGACCCCAAACATCTCACAGCCAGCCGCGAAGAACCCCGAGGTGTAAAAATAGAGGAGAGAACTTGCTTAATTAGGAGGGACCTGTGTGAGGGGCAGTTACAGGCTGTGATTAGACCCTGGACTGTTCACACCCTGCTTTTACCTGACTAAGACACACCCACATTAGTAATGTAAATGATCGCATAGTTTGATGGGAATTTACTTGTAACTCTGTCCGTTGCACTCTCCTGATCCTTTAAGTGTCTGTTCTGTATTAAATGGAAAATCCACCATTTTTCTACAATTTCCTGCATAATGGTTAAGATAAGCAAAGTAAACAAAATAAGTCAGGGTGGTTTGATATGCTTCATTTTAGAGAAACTGATCAAGTCTAAATTGTTCACAGTGGTGGTGATAGGAGCCAGACATCTGAGGAGTTTAATGCGTCTAAACAAGCTACCTCACAAAAAGTCATTATGTTAAATGGTTATGAATATGCTGATTTATGCTCTAAACATTGTTTTATTGTAGTTATTAGATTCGTTTTTGATCTAAAACACTTTTTTTAAATCCATAAAATCCATATACTGTAAAAATGTCATCAGCTTCAACCCGAAAACCTAAGTTCAAAAGCTGCCTTAAAGTTTCAAGTAAAATTATAACTACTATTTATTTCAGCTCATGACTTCAGATTTTTTGCTTTCCTCTCTGCAAGTTAATATAACTATATAGAGCAAGTGTTTCAACTTAGCAACACAAGTTTAAGATACAGGTGACTTATTAACATTCAACAGTTTTCAAGTTTAGATTATGTAAAAGTATTCTGTGTTTTAAATTGTGAGTTATAGTTACAACAAACACCACATTTGAGGCAACATCTCACTTTTATTTTCTTGGATGAAAAGTTAAATACAACAACAACTTTTACACACAAATGTGTAAAACAAGAAAGCAACATTCCAAACAGGTACTCTTTCCAACTGGAATACAATGGAAAACGGCTTCAACATTCAGTTTAGTGAAGCTGAAGGAATAGTTCAACAAAAATCAAATTTACACCATTTTCCTCTTATCCCAGATGTAATTGATCAGTCAAGACATGTTTGGAGTCCAAATTTTTCTTCTTTAGTTTATAACTGGAGCTGCTATGTTAATATTGCTAACAAACACCAGAAGTCAATTGTCACCCATTTAATCTCCATTAATATGTTCAACAATATCTCTTAATATATGTGTCTCCCATATTACTCAGTGTGGTTTAATACACAGTTTGACTTCATACACTGCTGTTTAAAATGCTGGTCTGTAGTATTCAGCCATGTGGTGAAGTTTTATTCATTTTTATAGTTTATATTAAGTCATACTGGGCATTAAACCACATTGAGTCTGGCTGACAAAGATTAAGACCTGATTGCATTTGATTGTGCTTACATTAACTTATTTTAACAATGATATTAAAAAATAAATTCTTTTAAGAGATATGTCTAGAAGCTAATACAAACCAAATCATCAGGAAACTGAACAAAATCTTGAAATATACATTTTGAATCTCCAAAATCTTCTCATTACACAAGTACATAGACATGTGTGTGTCAGAGTAAATCTTCTAAAAAGCCAGATGTTTTATAGTTTGTACCTTATAAGCTTGTTTCTCAATGCATGTATTCGTGCAGAGGCTTGGTCTGGTTTGATCATCACTACTCGCTGTAGAAACACAAAGGAATACTTCACAGCTTGTAGATACTTGAAATTCACATAATAGATGATACCCATAAGCATGGCAAAGCTTCATGGCACATCTTTGAGGTTGTGTAGTACAATGGTCTCCTCCACCACAACTGCTACATTGAAGATCTCCTGTAGAGCACCTTCATGGCCACAGGAAGCCAACTTGCCTCTCCTTCATAGCCACATCCAGTGTCTCACCATGAGCCCTCAGAATAAAAAAAAATTGTGCCTGTCACCAATTTATCTACAAGTACAATGCTTACGTTCTGTAAGGCCAGTTCAAATTTCTGTCATAATGCTAGACCAGTGATGGACTGAGATTGGTAGCTTGGGGACTGAAATGAGAACCACTGTCTTAGACAACAGATTTTAATTAGTTAATTGGTAAGATCACTTAACTCATTATTGTCAATATACAACATATAGAAGAAAGCACATATTTAATCAACAGAGAACTAACCAAGACTACCATATAATGCAGATTTAGTTGAAATAATTAAAAAGTCTAATTCATTAGTTATGCACAGGACCCACAGCATGTCTTAATCATACACCTATGCATTAAAAAAAATCAAATATACTTTTCCACTTACCCTAGATAAGTCCAAACATGTTTGCAGTCCAAATTGTCATTCTTTAGTTTAGAACTGGAGCTGCTAGGCTAACATTGTTAAATGCTACAAGTCAGTAGTCACCCACACTTTTAAAAAAACAGATTTTTATTCACAGGTTCTTTACTAAAGATACAGTTCTGTATAGAACCATGAACACTCAAAGAATCATTTGCATGCTTAAATAGTTCTTTGCATGATGGGAATGTTCTTCAGATTGATGCAGAATGTGTTGTGTGTGCTTCTATATAGCACCAAAAAATGTTCTGCTATCATTGCGATTTCACTGAACTCATTTAAAAACTAAAGTTGAAACACTGAAATAAATGATTTTGACAAGTTAAAGTAAATGAAAGATGTTATTTTGAGTTATTGCAGAGACATACATGGAGGGCATCATAAGACAAAATACTCCCTAAAGAGAATTTATTTGTGTCACATTTATTACTATTTTACCAGTATAAACATTACATATAAAAACTCATGTGTAGCCTCACTGGTTATTTTGGATAGTAAATGAAATATATTTATATATTTGCATTGTAGACATTGTGACCCCTGCTTCCTATCATCACCATTGAGTTGGTAACTATTTCTACAATGAGTCATTTCACATCTAACCACTCTGAGTAGCTTGTTATTATACTATATGGTGGTCTGATATTGCTGACACTGTTGATTAGTAATTAGCAATTTGACAAATATTTAAACCTAAAAGATTCTGCCAACTGCTAATAATGACTTGGTCTTAGATTTTAAATCTCTGGGTATTTGATAGAGTCTATGATACCATGTGTCCCAACAAGATTTTCAGGGCCCTTGGAACTAAAACAGCTCCCCAACATCACACACCCACCAATACACTTCACAGAGGGGATTAGGCTCTTTTCTGCTTAACATTGCTTCATTTTGCTGCCAAACTCATGTTGATACTTGTGTTTTAGCAAGAGAAACTTGTTCCAATCAAAGTCCCAGTAATGTTTGTTTGTGGTTTGGCAGCAGAGGCCTTCATCTGCCTTTCAAATAGTTTGTTGCTATAGGACTGTATAGGCTGAATGGGAAGGAACTGGTTACATTTACCGATAATGCTTTTCTGTAAGTACACTTTTGATGGATTTATGATTTCTTTCAGGATATTTTCAAATGATACTTTAACTTCCTACTCAAGTGCATTTGTGAAGAATAGCATCTACTTTGTGCTCCTTGAGAAGCTACATTTTAGGCAAGCAACTAGTTCCTAATTTCATTAATAAGTTCACAGTTTTGTATTTAAATATCAACCAGTTGTGTTAGTTCAGCTTCTGGAGTGTTTTGCTGTTGCTGGCAAGCATGAGCATTTTATTTTAGACAAAAAGAATCACAAAAAGAGAAGAATAGTGCCCATACTCTTGCACCACACTACACTCACACACTACTATACCACTACCATGTCATTGTTTATTGATCCAAATATGTGGTCAACAGCAGTCCTGTAGTCAGAAACTGACCAGTAATGATTGGAGTAGAGGTTGGCTGAAAAGTGCAGGACAACAGAGTTGCTAAATGGACTAAAGTCTATACACCATTATGATGGACTTGATGATTTCATGAAGTGGACAATGAGTCTACATACGAGGTAGTTGTTTCTGCAGAAGTTCATCATTAGACAAAATATCAGTTAGCGTATAAAATCTCAGAAACTTTTGTTACATATCAAAAACATTCAATATCTTAATAATGTCAACAAAAAAGGTTATGGTCAAACAGTGGAAGAAGCAGAAATATGTTGCCTTTGGGTTCTGTGCTTTTGTTATTATTATTATTATTATTATTATTATTATTTTAGACTCCAAAACCATTCTTCTTCTTGTACCCCACCGGACTCTATTCCCGGCCGGACAGAAAGCCGTCGGACTGTTTTTCAGTTGCTCCATTACTTGAAGTAGTATCTTTAAGTGAAGACGTCAGTTTTCTACACGTTTATAACATATTTAAGGTCATATTCTCTACCTCATCTCAGCGACAATGGCAGGAAACTTCTGGCAGAGTTCGCATTAGTAAGTTTTTTCACCGTATACTTATTTAGGTTATAAATAATTCCTTTTGTTTCGGGGCCTTTCCAGTCGCTAATTTGACGAAGGGGTAAAATGGTAGCTAACGGCTATCCAGCAAGAATTTCTTTAGCTCGACGGAGCGATGTAAGTTAGACTGAATATTTTCATATGTTAGAAATAACAATACAATGGGCAGTTTAAGCTGACTTCGTCATACATTCCTAAGGATTCTGCCTAGCTAACCTAGGTATGTAAATAGGCAAAATCCGTCTTTGTTGCGAGCTAACGTTAGCTAGCAAAATAACTCGGCAGGTTAAGTTTCCCTCACTATAGGTTAACCTACGTAGTTGAAGCTGCAGAGTTGCGTGTTGCCTGTAATTGAAGATGTTTTTGACCGAGAGAAATCCTTCTTGTTGGAACAAAATATACAAAATCGATACCGTTAATGCTGTGTAGAATAAAGACATACGCTAGCTAGCTGACTAACGTGCATCTCTGTTCTAGATTCTAGTTAAAGCTGTTGCTGTCGTTGCTAGTCTAAAATCTTCACGAATCGCTTTCGCAAAATGATATCTCGCCACAAGCAAGGGGAAATTCCACCGATTTTTAAAAAATTCAGTTGTTGAGATGTAAAACAAAGTCATTCAGAGTGGTTTGAAGTTAAATGCTGCAATGTACACAAAACGCAGCGACTCAGATTTCTTTAGCTAGGTTACAATGGTGGTGACAGTAATCAGGGGTCACAAGGTCTACAACGCAGACATGCATATCGCTGTTGTCGGAAAAAAAAAAAACTCGTATCTCCAAAATGATAACTTCACAGGAGAAGGAAAAAACCTACTTTACTTTTAATGTAAGTCGATGGAACCAGAATTTTTTCCTAGACATTTTGGGCCATTTCTGTTGGCCCATTCTTGCAATGTAAAGGGCAACAGGCATTTTCACATTATGTCAGAATCTGAAAAATGACAAAAATGGAGATACAAGGCTTTTATCAGACTGGAGTGATTTGCTATCCAAAACAGCTATTGAACCTGCACCAGTTTTCATATGTGATGTTCATAATGGTTAAATAATACAGACAGAATAAGTTTTTTTGTGTACCATTCTGCCTTAAAACGCCATGCGTGTATACCTCCACTGTGCATGTTTTATTTTTAGTTTTTTAATTAAAAGCAAAACATTTTTAAAAAAAAAAACAATGACTGACACCAGGCAGAGTATTCATAGCAGTTTCATGTAATATCTTTCTGTGACGGAGTTTTCAGAGGCATTAAATGCTTCAAGATGTCCGGTTCCACTGTTGTGAACTATTCTGACCTCGTAAGTTTCTCTAAATTACCACATTTCACATCAAACTACTCAGTGTCTTTTTTGAAATTCATTGAAATTCCCCTTTAACATGGCAGGAAGAAACCGCTGCAATTAGCTGTCTAGCATTTTTTTAACTGGTGGAAAAATACAGATGTCCCATATTTCTTCAAGTAGATTTGATGGGCACATGTAGAATTAGTCCTGTTGTAGAGACAGCAAAATTATGTGCATTTGGCTCACAAGGTGTGGACCGCTGTGTCACTTACAGATAAGAGTGGCTTTAAACACTTTCATGACTTTATCTCCTAAAAGATGAGCAGCAGATTGGTTAAAGTGAGTTTTATAGCTGGATTAAAAATGAATGTCTCTGGAAAGGCAATGCACCTTGCAGAGCCACAGTCATGTTCCTAATAGGTGAATATGTTCACACAAGTAAGAAAGGGAAACTTCAATATATGGAAAGTAATCTAAGTACACAAAAGATAGTCAGTATATGTTACTGACATTGTAACGATTAAGATTAAAGATACCTTTTTCAATTTCATCACTGATTAAAAGTTCATCAGTAGTTTTCTCATTTTGACAACATTTTTATTTTTCTGTTATTAGCCTGCAGTGGGTGTTGGACAAGCAGGACCTGCTGAAAGAGCGTCAAAAAGATCTGAAGTTTCTTACAGAGGAGGAGTACTGGAAGCTGCAAATATTTTTTGCAAATGGTACAGAACAATGAAATGGCTTTAATTGAAAAAGATTTGTTTGTTGTTAGGTTAGTTCTGAGTCTTCTAGCTGTGCATAGGAATATGTGCTAATGTAATATTAGTGTTATTTAACTGTCCTTCTGAATCAGTTTGTAGTAATGAGTTCTATTCAGATGCACACATTTTAAACTGAAGAAGAAAAAACATTGAATATGTTCATTTTAAGTGTCTAAAGTAGCTATCCATTGTCACATTGCATTTAAAACCTGCTGATGATGCCCAAAGACTGCCTGAGTTTAATGAAAGGTGGTAAATGCAGATTTGATTTTTCTCTTAGTGATCCAAGCTTTGGGGGAACATTTGAAACTCAGACAGCAGGTCATTGCCACAGCTACTGTCTACTTCAAACGCTTTTATGCCAGGTGAGGTCTGTCTCCATGAATACACAGCTATCCAAAGTTGGGTAATTTGCTGAAAAGTAGAAGGTGGTACTCTAAAGTCACTGAGACTATTACTAAGACCTTTGTTGTTCTGAAAAAAACTGTTTTCCGTAGTTTCTCTCAGTTCTGTTCAGAGTTTGGAAAAGACGATATTTCAGTCCATACAGATTGGAAAGCCTTTGTAATATCACAGATGGGTTGAATAACAAGATTACTTGTTGGTCGGTCTGTGTTGTCGCTTTATTGTGTAAATAACGTGAGGCCCTCATGCTGCATTTTAATGCTGCTACACCAAAAGGTCATAGCATAATTATGAAGGACTCACTGTGCTAAATAGACACTTGCTCTTTTGATAGAGCACTTTAGACACACAAAGGATTTTTCATTTGGCAAATTAAATTGCCAGCTTCACCCATTAAAGAGGAAATGATGGGATTTTATAGTGTGACTTTGGCTAATAGAAAGTACCAGGAAAAAGGGCTCGTTTGTCGTGTTCATTTAGCCCACAAAGAGTGAGCTTTCAGGTTAACACAAATTGGCAAATAAAAATTGGCCAAAAAATTAGACTTTGTCTAATTTGGCTGATGAATTGAAGAAATCAGAAGCCATAAAAATTCATGATCTATACATCCCTTATTAATACTTACTGCAGTGATTGTCATTTTGTAACCCTTTTCTTTTTTGCAGGTACTCTTTAAAGAGCATAGACCCAGTATTGATGGCGCCTACCTGTGTGTTTCTAGCCTCTAAAGTGGAGGTGAAAAGGCCGTTCCAAGATTTGTCTTCATTTTTTTTTTCGTAAAGAAATGGTTTGCACAACTTTTTAACTATTGCCAACTTGTGTCATTGCAGGAGTTTGGAGTCGTTTCAAACACTCGCCTTATTTCTGCAGCAACCTCTGTGTGTAAGTGGAAAAAATATGAAGTACTGTCATTACATTCAAAAACCAGAACATTTGCTGACAGGCTTTTGTTTCAGAGAAATAAACTACTGTCTCGTGTTTCTAACCTGAAGGCTAATGATTGTAGTTGTGATGGAAAGCATTTTGATGGTGCTTTAAAAATAAAAAAAAATTTACAACAAGCTCAAAAGAATTTCAAAGAAATTCAAAAGAACACTTCTTATGTTTATTTATTGTGTTAGTTCACCAAAAACTGGGTTTTAAAATGGCACTTTAGTATTACATTTTTTACAGGGTATAATTTGTGTTGGTCAATAGAGGTCCGCACTGGCTTGATTATTAATGCCTGCACCGTCTCGCAAAATCTAGTGCCGTTCTTGCCCACATTCACCTGCTTTAGCATCTTGCCCACCTGCATCTGTCTGCCTTGGGCTATGGTCCTTGTCCGCACCTGTCTGCATTTAACTTTTGTAATCCGCACCACTGGCATAGTGCATGCACATGCAACTCCTGTATACAACACTTTAGGACAGCTTCCAGACACATCTTACCTCCACACATCCAAAATTTTGAATGTTGGAAAAAACATTTTGCGTATACTTAAGCTAAACAAAACAGAGAAAACACACCTGGCATCGTAAACTGAGCATTGTGTTGTGACTTCACTGTCAACAGTGTGCGTGGCAGAACAGCCAAGCAGCTTGGCTTTGCTTCACTACTTTGTAATCTGTTTTTGTATCTGTAACGTCTACAAGACAAAATTAAAGCAAAAATAGGTAGCTTTGGCATGCTGTGACACAGATTGAAAAGCCAAAACTGTTTTCTTGGCAAAAATGCAGTTAGAATTAGTGCAGGAGTTACTTAGTGGAGATTATATGGCTTCACTATGTGTATACAGCACATGATAATTAATATCATGTTTTTCTCTGTGGCACTTAAAGCTTATTTGTTGCCTACCCATTAGCTTCCTCAATATTTGTCCAAGCCTGCCCTACCCACCAAGCCATAATACCCACTATGATCGGTGCCTTTAACAATTTAAAGTATTTGTTCCTGTTTAATCTTGGTGGTCATTGTATCTGCTTGAAAAGACATAAGCTTTTGTTTTTCTCAACAGTAAAAACACGATTCTCCTATGCCTTTCCTAAGGAGTTCCCATACAGAATGAACCATGTAAGTATCATGTACATTAGTGCTACTTCTGCTGATTTTAAAATGTCACATTACTAGATTGTCCTTTACTGAACATGTTAGCAAGTAAGGATGCACCACTTTTTCTCCCTTCTCTTGTGGTACTGTTACTGGCTCTATCTAACCTAACTAACTAGTCCCATCACAAGTGCACTTTTTAAATATTTTATTTTGGTAAAAGCCATGTTCTGTGTCACAAATAAAATGTACCAAGTTTGAATGAATGGCATTAACTTGTTGGATATATATGTTTATATGACCATTTCAGATAGTTAGGAAACCCTGTTTTTTGTCTATTTACTGCATACAATTAGTATAGCATAATATTTAAAAACAGATATATGGATAAGCCAACATAAGCATGCAGTAGCTTCTCTGGCTCAGCAAAAACGATGCAGAATATCTTTTCACATCCTAATTTCTTAAGTTATGTGTCTCATTTGTGCGTCCTGTACACTTACTGGCATTACAGATATGATAGAAATGCTGTGAGCATTTTTACTGCTGTTTGTAAACCCTCGCCGCCAAGGCGTTAAGTTCCATCTACTGACTAAGCAGCGATGCCAATATGGTATTGATATCGGTGCAACCTTATTAGTGAGTATTGTATTAGTTGAATTTTGGAAAATTGTCACCCTTTTGAAAATGACCTGCTTGCTAGCTTGTGTGAAAGGAACGCTACTTTAGCACACCTGTGCTCGTTTTTGGTGATGAAGCGTTTGTTAGTTGTGTACGACGAATCATTGTTGCTGGTGTGCATAAAGGCATTCCGCACACACACTCTTGACACAGAGGCGTGAACGTCTCATTGCTGTGTGAAATTGGTGTGGCAGAAGCTCAGTTGTCGCATGTGTGTGCCAAGTGTTTTCTGATAACCGATGGAGTTATTCATTTTGCCCTGTATGTCTTGTGCTCGGAGAGCAATGCTTCAGCTGTCCAAAAGCTGTAGAAACATTTATTGATCTGCTTGTGTGGCTCAGCGATGAAGGCGAGGGCAATGATTAGTGCACATGCCACATCAATTATCCGGCTACTGAGACATGTAGGGCGATTTTTCATCAGCATATCCCCATTCCCCCTTGCCAGAGCCTGACTTGCATGTCTTTCTCTTTTTTTCCACCGTAGATCTTGGAATGTGAGTTCTACCTACTGGAGCTTATGGTTAGTTTGCCACCCTATAAATATAAATGCCTGGTATTTCTAAATGCGCACTGATTCGTGTTAAATGACTGATTAATGTCTGTGGCTGTTTTTCAGGATTGCTGTCTGATTGTGTACCACCCCTATAGGCCTCTGTTGCAGTATGTACAGGACATGGGTCAGGAGGACATGCTTCTTCCCCTAGCATGGTAAGAAGTGTGTGATTGTGTGGGAGGATGTGACTTGGGATTGTGCAATATATCACTTGTTAATCATTATTACAATTTTGACCACTGCAGTCTTGGAGCACTGCAACATCCTGCTACTTATTTTGGCCAAGCACTCTCCTGTAAATGAGAATTTTAAATTTCAGTCTGTCCCTAAATGATTATTTACTGGGGGTTTTGGGGAATGTTGTTTAACAATATCAAATGATTGAAATGACATGGGACAATCTTTTGTCACATTTAGTTGGAAGTATATTGCAACATGTAACGGTATAAAGACAGTTTATATTGTCTGTATTGTGCATCACATGCACATCTATTCTTGTCTATTACCTATTTAGAAAATAATAACAATAGATGTCCAAAGCAATGACTTAAGGTGGACATCAGTATGAAAGTTTTTTACTGACCTTTTCAGTAAACATTCAGTAGTTCAGTTTGTGTTTTCAGTAATATCTTTCTGTTCTTTACTCTGCAGGAGGATAGTGAATGACACATACAGGACGGACCTGTGCCTACTCTATCCACCCTTCATGATAGCCCTCGGTAAGAGCCTTATTTTTGATCACAGTTTTGGCACATAGACAAAGCATTATTCAAACAATAGGGTAGGTAGGCTTCTAATTGATTGCGCTATATTTTGTTGCTAAGATACAGAATAATAAGTTACTCTGTAACTGATGTTAAGACTAATAGAGACGCAACAAAAACACCTTGAAATGCAGCACATGTAGCTAGTACCAAGCTACAAATATAATGCTTTTACTGCTGTCTGGGATACTCTAGTTTTTCTTTCATTGTCTTTACTATGGTAAGTGACAACCAGTTGACAGTTTTTGTGCATAACTAGTGGACTAGTAAAAATAGATTGATTGATAGTTGTGCAGATCCTTGTTAATTGTCATCACCATTTTGATCTCTGGTTTTGGAGCGCAACAACACATGCAACTTATTTTTACTAGGATTTTGGGGAATGCTAACAAAATGCTGAGGAACTTCTTTACAAGCTGCTGAAAGGCTGTAACTCCATGCTTACTGTTTACTTCTCTCTAATTAGGGTGAACTACAGTTTTTATCCTTCTCACTTCCCCTTTTGCTCCACAGCATGTTTGCATGTAGCGTGTGTGGTGCAGCAGAAAGATGCCCGGCAGTGGTTCGCTGAGCTCTCAGTGGACATGGATAAGGTAGGACCATGTTCAACATGGACGTCGGCACTCATCATAAATACCTCTTGATTACGTGGTTACCTAGCATTTCCACAATATTCTTAGTGGAAGGTTTTGTGCAACAGTTAGAGCCCAGACTGTAATGTTCCTGTAAGTTTGTGTGATAAACTATGAGTTCTGTTATTTGATTAACCACTGAATCCCTGAATTTTATCCATTGTCCATTTTGACCTAATTTTGACAAACTATTGCTTTACATAGATAAAACAATAGATAGATACTATTCACAAGATAAGATATGGTTGCTGATTATTGTGCTTGAAAAAATGGAGAACATGATCTAACATAAACTTCAATGTTCTTTGAACAGATCCTGGAGATCATTAGAGTAATCCTGAAGCTATATGATCAGTGGAAGAACTTCGATGACAGAAAAGAAATGCCTGCCGTGCTGAACAAGGTGCCCAAACCCAAGCCCCCGCCCAACAGGTATGGCAGGCCAGAAAAGACCACATGTGGCTGGTCTTGTGATTCTGTAGAAGCAGTGTGCTTTTTCAATTTGCATATGTTAAAGAGAGAAACTAAAAACTACAACTTTATCCTAGTTGTTAATTACACAAAGCCCAAGGCTACAATATATTTGTGTATGATTTCTAGCTGCCTTTTTATTGGTTTACCCCTCTCTGCTTTCTGTTCCACAGTGAGAATGACCAGAGCTCCAATGGGAATCAGAACAGCTCGTATAGTCAGTCCTAAAGCTCCCCCTGCTGGAGCAGCCTAAGGCACTGTTGCCTCAGGCAGCCCTGACCAAAAACAGCAGCACATCATGGACATCTGAACTCTGCTCCAGTCGGAACACATGTTTTAATGGCTGAGGGATTACACAGACCTGCTTCGCAGACTCTCTCTCTTCATCTACTAGTTAGAGCAGATGTGATGCCTGCTGTGTTTGCTTCACCATTCAGAGTCTGTGAAGCTAAATTTTGATTACTGTATGGAGTCACAAAGGTGGCTTCAGCTAACCAGCTATGGGAATCCTGCTAAAACTCTGACGTTTTGCATTTATATGGCTGACTGTCTATGGACACACACCCACACACACACAACTCCCACAGCTGTCTGTGAAATGTGCTCAACTATGTTGTTCTTGATCCTGACTTCCTTGAAAAATCCCATGAAGCAGGTGCTCTGTGGGAACAAGAAAACTTGATCAATTTTTTTGCAGTCTTGTGTGGATGAGTGGGGTGACAGTGTGGGTGTCTGTCTGTCTGTCTGCCTGTCTGCCTCTTGTTGACCATATCACAGTTTGCATTCCTCAGGGAAACAGCAGTCTGCTCTACAGAAGGCTGGCTGTGAACTGACTGGCCACAGGGCTATGTGTGTTGATCTCGTTGGACCCTTGTACTGTGTAATCAAATCCTGATTGGCTATTTTTCCTGAGAGCAGGCATAGGCACTGTGAATGAGAAAGCACAGGTTGTATTATTTGTCTCCTTTAGAAGTGCTTGTTCACCACTTTCTCCCAAAACTGCACTTGTAAATATGCTTTCAAAAATGTATATTTTAAAAAAAAATGACTTCAGATTCATTTACTTTGAATTTGTTGTTCTTGTAATTGCCTATAACCAAACAATTTTAATTTTGTCTTGTTGGCAAACTTATTATGTTGTACTCTTGGGTGTAGTATGTTCAAGTAGCCTAATGGCTGTGTATAATTCATGTTTTTTTTTCCTTCCTAGCCAGTATTTGACATTAGTTTTTAAGTGATATTGGAAATTTTTGGTTTGTTTTGATTTGCAAAAGGGTCACTGGCAATTGGTCATTAAGTCTTTCACAGCAGCCTTGAATCATACAGCATTGGAGGCCCTTTTTTGTGCTGTTGTGAGGAGAATTTTGTAACCCTTTTCTTGAGCGTGCCAGCTCAAAAAAACATCCCCTTTGTGTTGTTTGTTTTTTGAGATAGTGTTTGTGTGTATGATTTACCTGTAAATATGTTAAGCAGTGGGTTAGTGGAGTAGAAGTTTTTTGAATTTTGTCTCGTTTTTTCGGCTGTCACAGATTGAATGCCTTATTCAATAAAGCTGCTGGTTGACCTTAGTCCAAATCTGAGTGATTTTGAGGACAAGAAAGTAATGGAGGGAGGAGATGCTGTCTTTAGAAACACAGACTATCAAAAGCTGTTAATCCTGAGTCAGAGGTATATGCCAATTCATGCTTGTGAACAAAGCACTTGTGCTTGTGAAACAGAATTATGTCAAGAGGTAATTTTGTTCATAGCCTAACACCGAGAGCTATGAAGGCACTCGGGCTGGCAACACTGTAGCACGATATAAAGCAAAAGATATTGATCAGGCAATGAGCATTTTAATTGCTTACAGTGAGTCAGATACACAATAAAATTATGAGCAGGCTCCAGGTGTGCACATTATTACACAGTGATGCTTACGAACAAAACAAAGTATAGAAGCCCTGTCAATCATCCTGTCTTAAAGAGGAATGCCATCAGTTAAAACAATCTGCATAATTAAATGGTTAGGACGTAAACAAAGTCATTCAGAATGGTTTGGTGCGAAATGCTCCATTCTAGGGAAACCTAGCAAGTCTGAATTGTTCACAGTAGTGGTGATAGGAGCCAGATGTCTGAATTCTTCTCAGTATTTTCTAACGAATAGAAAAAAAGGTATTATACATACTCTGGCCAAAATGAAAAACCAGCACCAGTGGTGCTCAGTAGTCTCTAGGGCAAGATTCTCCCGTTAAAAGACTAGGAAAACCCCCTCTGATTATGCTAGTGAAAATTCAATTTGTGATATCCAGAAACCAACTCATACTAGTAAAAATTTTAGTTTTACATGTGTGTTTTCCGGGAGGCAATGGACGCGCGTCCCCACGTGGTACAGGCAGCGTCATGACGTCACTTTCAGCGCCGTGGACGACGGTAGCGCGCAGCTGCGGTCGGACGGACTCATCTCGGACCCCGAGGAGGCTGGAGGCCCCCCCGAGCATCCCTGATGCCCCTCCGCGCCCCTCCGTATTGGGGGCGATGAAGAAGCCCCCGCTGAGGGCCGCAGCGCGGCGCGGCCGGAGGCAGTATGCAGTGGGGCGCCGGGCTCGGCGCGCTCCACTTCGGCCGCAATAGGAGTATCTCCTGCGGCCGCCTGGTTGTCGTCGCCGGACACCCGCTGCCCGAGTCCACCGCCACCATCATGACCGACTCGTGGTGGCGAAAAACGCTGTGCTTGGCCGGTGGCGCCCTGCTCGCCGCCGCCGCCTATTTACTGCATGAGCTGCTGGTCGTGAGGTAACTTTAGCTTAGCCGCTCAACGACGGGACTTTTACATCGCATTTACATTGTCATTTGTCTTCATAAATACGGACATGTTTCTTAATCTACACAGTTGTGGCGCGTGTTAGAGATTCCTGGTATTACGGGGAGATCTAAAGTATGTTGGCTTTTAACGTGAAGTGGCTTTTAATGGCTCGAACAACACGTACCCTCCTCTCACAACAACAGCATAGAGTTGGCTCCATGTTTTGTCAAGGACAACAGTTCCAGTAGCATCGCTAAGATTTTGCCTTTGAGGAAAATGTCTCATGTTATAGCGCTCAGGCAGTGCTGCAGTTCTTAGAATGTCCTTTAATGACCTTTTAGGTGATATTGTTAGTAAGTAATGGTCTTGGCCTCTGGGTTTGTCAGTGAAGATTAAAAGACAGCGTTGCTGCTCCCAACCAAAACATCTCAGGTTACAGGCAGTTTGGAAGAGCTTGGCAATTTTGGCAAAAAATGAGCATCACGATTGCATGCAAACGCTGGATGACCTGCTTCTATTTATTAATGATGGCACAGCAAAATGTTTTTTTTTATTTTTTTTTATTCAGATATAGTAGCCATGTTTATTTAATAGTCTAAGCTGTGATATTTTGTACAGAAATAAATCTAATCATGTGTTTTTTACTGCTCTTACGTTTAAGTAACAGAGTGACCAGAGTGTTAACCTTAATAGACAGTTTTACAGGGTCACATTTCAGCACCACTTCAGTTAGGGCAGCTCCTGTTTCTTCTGCATGGAGTAAATTCCTTAGCTCTGTAGATTTTCACAATAATCCATGCTTATATGAAATAAAACCTCTATGTGAAGGTGCTGTATCCTTTCACATCCTCTTGAATATAAAAATATGCACACAAATCCATATCATAGCTCACCGGCTCACTTTTTCTGAAACTATATGTACTCACAGACTGTAGACACTAAAAGCCAGTGACACTTCTTCTGTAACACATTTTTATTGCTGATTGCTAGTTTGCTTTTGAAAATGTTGTTCTTGCATGGATGACTCACTTTTGCCCCCTTCCTGTGTGGAGTGCACCTGTCTGTACTGATGAGTTCTCATGTCTCACAGAAAAGAGCAGGAACTGGATTCTAAAGATGCCATCATCCTTCACCAATTTACTCGGCCCAAGAATGGAATACCCAGCCTGTCCCCTTTTTGCCTGAAAATGGAGACCTACCTGCGCATGGCTGACCTGCCTTACCAGGTGCTACATTGCTCTGATGAAACAGAAAATGAATAATCAGGAAAGAGAGTTAATTACAGATAGAAAAGGAACCAGTTATAACCAAAAAGCATTATACAAGGAGAAAATGTTTGTATTTATAGACAATTTTTTAAATAAGGCAAAATGCATTTTCTTTTTTCTGTCCAAATCGTCACTCTTAATTGTCTCTTCTAATTTTTTTCACATCTTCACAGAACTATTTTGATGGGAAGTTGTCTCCACAAGGGAAAATGCCATGGATCGAATACAACCAGGAGCAGGTGTTTGGTTCAGAGTTCATCATCGACTTCCTGGAGGAAAAACTCGGTGTGAATCTGAACAGCAGTCTGAGTCCTGAGGAGAGAGCAGTGTCACGTGCTATCACCAAGATGGTGGAGGAGCACTTCTATTGGTGAGGAGCTCTGCATTTCTTTACCCCTCTTATCACATGCCTATTGTCTAGAAACCTGGAAGGAAACTATTGGAGACTCACAGCCTGGGAAGGATGCTTTTGTTAGTTGTAGTGGAAAACAATTGCATTCATAAAGATTGCGTCAGTAACCAATCTTGTAAAGATGGCACACATTTTCTGCATTCTCTGTAGACTCCAAAGAGGATTGGTTTAGCTGGTTTATCCATATTTCCACATTAGTTTATTTCAGCTATATAATCTAGAACATTCCTATGGGCCTATGAATTAATTTGGCACATTGTAGCATCTTGCTGATTACATCTCTCACTTTTTGGTTTGTTATTTAGCACTGGCCAATATTATGCTGCAGCAGAAGGACAGGATAGCAGGTCTGTGTAATTGAATGAATGGTCCCATTGTAGGGGCTGGTGTAACTGACATTTGTGTTGTTTGGACAGACAGATACAATACAAGCTTTTATTTCTTGCATCCTCTGGAATACATGTTTTATTTTGTGTTGCGTTTAGCTGATACCATTCCTTGACAATGAGAATTTGGGCCCTGGTGTGCAGAAAGACCTGACTCTACATCTGAATTCAAAGCAGTGACTAGCTGATGTTGGTATTTACCTAGGGAATTTGATGCGGTGTGTACTGAGGATGATTGCATGCATATTTTGCATGAAATATACTAAATATATGTGTGTTGTCTTATGTTACAGTATGCTTATAAATTCAAGAAACTGTGCATTATACATCTAAATGTGTATTATATATTCTAATGACTGTGTGCGTATATCTTTACAATAGTGTTTTGTCTATAGGATGTTAACTAGAGACAATGATTGTCGTTTGACTGACTTGATTGACTATGTATGTGTGTATGTATTGTTGTAGGACGATAGCCTATTGTCAGTGGGTTGATAATGTGGAGGAAACTAAAAGCATGCTGGCTGTGAGCGGGCCACTAAGTGAACTCCTGAAGTGGATCCTGAGTCACGTGACTGGCAGCCTGGTGAAGAGAGAAATGTATGGCCATGGCATTGGGCGTTTCTCGAAAGATGAAGTCTATGCTCTGATGGAGAAGGACATGCGCACCCTTGCTACTCTGCTTGGTCAGTGTGACGGAACACTGTAAGCCTGTCATGATCATGAAATATTTTAACAAAAATTGCAATCAGCTTAAATAAGTGTGATCAGATGAATAGAGCATGGTGGGTTTGTGGCATGTTGAACCAAAATAAGTGAGATATGAGTGTTAGGTATATATAAGGGCGATGGTAATTAAAAAATATTTGTCATATTAAAATGATCTGTAGCATATAACAAATTAATGAAATATTGATTAATTTAGGCAGTCACATTCAAAACATAAAAAAAAAAAAAAATAGTACAATACTAAATCAGTGCTGACACCTTTTGGTGAGGAGAGTGTACTACACCTTCATTGCTTTGCTGTAATACTATTGCAGTGTAGATAAACAAAATTACAGATGTAGAGCAAAAAAGCAAGTGTATTTGAAATGTTTTTTAATATGTTCTTTTTTCTTACACTATTTAAGGAGATAAAAAGTATATCATGGGCCCCAAGGTCTCCTCAGTCGATGCTGCTGTATTTGGTCATCTTGCTCAGGCCATGTGGACATTACCAGGCACACGGCCGGAACAGCTCATTAAAGGTGAGGTAATCAAACTTCCTGAAAGTGCTGTATATGAGTCATATTTTTGGCCAGTTGTATATGTCCATACTTTGTGTCTCTGACTGACAGTTGGTCAAATACAGCATGCAAATGAATGAGAAGGGAGCAGGAAATTTTATATAAATGTTGTAGTACAGTACAATATGGTAAACTGTACTAGTCCTAGTAAATGCCTGGTATACAATATTTATAATTTATGTATAACGTACACTAAATGGACAAAAGTATTGTGACACCCACACATTAAACCTACAGGATTTTTCATGACGTCCTATTCTAAATTTATAGGCAATAATATGGAGTTGGTCCCCACTTTTGTTTGGAGTGTGTCTGTGAAAATTTTTGTTCATTCAGAAAAGCATTTATGAGGGCAGACACTGATGTTGGAAGAGAGGGCCTGGCTCACAATCTCTGTTCTAGTTCATCTTAAAGGTGTTTGATGGGGTTAAGATCAAGGCTCTGTGCAGGCCAGTCAAGTTCTTCCACACCAAACTCACCCAGCCATGCCTTTATGGACCTTGCTTTGTGCACTGGGGCACAATCATGCTGGAACAGAAAAAAAGTTGGAAGTGTACAATTGTCCAATATTTCTTGGTCTGCTGAAGCTTTAAGATTTCCCTTCACTGGAACTAAGGGTCCTAGGCCAGCCCCTGAAAAACAGCCCTATAGCATTATCCCTCCTCCACCAAACTTTACACTTAGCACACAGTGCAATCAGGAAGGTAATGTTATCTTGGCATTTGCCAAACCCAGACTCATCCATCAGACTGCCAGATAGAGAAGCTTGATTCGTCATTCCACAGAATACGTTTCCACTGCTCCAGAGTCCAGTGGTAACGTGCATTACACCGCTCCCCTTGACGCTTGGCATTGTGCATTTTGATCTTAGGCTTGTGTGTAGCTGCTCGACCCTGGAAACCCATTTTGCTCCTAACACATATTTCTTTTGCTGATTTTGCTTCCAGAGGCAATTTGGAACTCTACAGTGAGAGATTCAACAGAGGATTGGCATTGTGCGCTTCAGCACTTGTCAGCCTGCTCTATGAGTTTGTGTGGTCTGCCACTTCGTGGCCAAGCTGCGGTTGCTTCTAGACACTTCTATTTCACAATGATAGCACTTACGGTTGACAGGGGCAGATCTAGCAGAACAGAAATTTCACAAACTGGTGGCATTTTATGACAGTGCCATGTTTAAAGTCACTGAGCTCATCAGTACGACCCATTTTACTGCCATTGTTTGTCTATCGAGGCTGCAAGGCTGTGTGCTTAATTTTATCCACCTGTTAGCAATGGGTGTGGCTGAAACACCTGAACTCAGTAACTATGAGGGGTGTCCCAATACCTTTGTCCATGTAGTGTATCTGATCAGTTTGAACTGCTCTGAAACATTCTGCCTTGCGATGGACTGGCGACCTGTCCAGGGTGTTTCCTGCCTTTTGCCCAGTGAACGCTGGGATAGGCTCCAGCACCGACCCCTGTGACCCAGGAGGATAAGTGGCTTAGAAGATGTATGAATGTATGAACAAATTAATTAAACATTCTATTCTGATAATCTAACTGAACTGTCTAATTTGTGCAGGTGAGTTAATTAATCTAGCCATGTACTGCGAGCGCATCCGGAGAAAATTTTGGCCTGAGTGGTTTGTGGATGTTGACGATTTGTACTACGATGGTTTAAGTGAGGAGCCCAACTCTCCATCGCAGCTGCCTGACCTGGGTCTGTACTCACGCAGCGACAGCTTCCCCGAAGAGCCTAGCACCCTCTCACACTCTGCCACCACACATTCGCTGGACAGCGATCCCACTGGACACTCAATCTTTGACTCTGACATGGAGGCAGAGTACTCGGAGATGGAGCAGCTCAAGGGTTAATCAGTTTTTCCTCGGCGGTGCCTCTGCACGGGCCCTGCCACACTGTCCTTTTTCAGGCCACTCCCACCAGTCAGAAGGGGAGGGGCTTTTATGAGGATGGCAGAGCTTCTTAATCATTCTGAGTAAACAAGAGACTGTGAAAACAGCAGTCTCACTTTTTACATACAAGAGCATAATGAATTTAGAGGAAAAAAAACAGGGAAAGAGAAAAGTTAATCTACTTATTTGAGAGAAAAATCAAGTGGAGAGGATAACCTGAGAAGAGATTTAATGCATCAGACAGTACAGAGCACCACTAGGAAGAGAAGTCAAGCAGAAGAATATCAAACAGTAAAATCATGAAGCAAGCTAATGTTTAAGAAGAGAAAGACGAGGGACTGAATATTGCCACTGCTGAATCATTCCCTCCATAGTGAAAGACCACTGCTTGTAGTAGCTGTGTCCTCCCACCATGTTCCTCTTCATTTCTCTCTTGGATATGAACAGAGTCTCTTTTTTCCTAAGATTTATTATAGTGTGAATGTCAATATGAACGTAAGTATTTTAGGTACTGTTTGGTGACTTGTTGATGCATTCATCAACAATATGGCCTTGGCTAGCCTTGTTGTGCTGGTAGGTTTTGCATAGGTTTTACCTAATGTTTCCCTGGGACTACATATAAAAGTCTAGATCTTCGCCACAGTTATTGCTCTGATGTACTGCTCAGTCCACCACCCGTAGATCCCTTTTAACCTTTTAATTGATTAACCTTATCCTAGAACTGCCTGAGTCCTGATGAAAAAACACCCCAAAAGATATGCCTTTAAACCCCATGATTACTTAAGGCAGTCCAGTAGCTCACAAATTGAGGTCCATTTTGTTACTACATAACAATTGGAATAAGCAAATGGTGTGATTATCATACATGAAGATTAACAAATTGAAGTGTTTGCATAGTATTGTCTTTATGATAAAGATTTATGATATGGATGTTTTCAACTACCTAACACACACTTAATCAATCTGGAGCTTGCACTGGCTTGTCCTAAGCCTGATGTGACGCTAGGTGCTTGGCCCCCTGATAGGGCCCTCAGCATTTAAGTTAATGCACCAAGAACAGTTCAGCCCTTTCTTTAATGTTTGTCTGTATGATCCATCCGCTTTGTATGTTGTAGTCACTGCATGTATACGTTTACTTATGCTTGAGCTTGATTCATGGGACCCACAAGAACCAAATTTTTCGCCAATGGTCTGTGTTGCCATGGGTTTATTATAATGACCTTAATATTTCATTTGGATATATGATGCTTCAGATGCTTGAGGAGCAGTAATGACCAACAATGCAGTGTAGAAATACTATTAGAAATTATAATTAGAAATATTCTCTTTGTGCTCAGAGTGAGTGAAAGTGGCCAATACATGTGTTTGTCAAACAGCAGATGCGTGTAAACAGTGTGCCTGATTTTTCGAGCGTGGTTCTGGTCTGAAAGTGCCATTCTTTTTTGAAAAGTTTTATTTTTTATTTTGTGCATAAGGACTCGGAAGGATAAGCGGCTTAGAAAATGTGTGTGTGTGTGTGTGTGTTTGCATAAGGACTCTTATCTTTTCCTAGAGCAGAATGAAAGACAATGGAAAGGAACAGAATACAACATGTCATGTTTTATCAAACAAGCTTATGATAGACCAACAGTCAGAAATGAGTTAAAATCACCAGTGTTGATGTAACTTTTAGACCTTGTTTTTCTCCTTGCATTCATGCCCGGATTGTATGTGGCTATACTTTTGGATTCCATTTACATTTTTCTTTAAAATATGTCCCCAGTGTGAACAGATAAGATTTAATATTACTTTCCCACATAAAAGCACATCAACATGTGCATCATTTCCAATTTTTCTTTGTGTAACCTACTAGATACATGTTTTCTCACCTGTTGCTACCGGTTCCCTGTTGGACACTTTCATCGGTCCAGAGTGCAAGAAGGCACTTGTTTTTGGGAGAACTAGCCTCGTGCATACCTCATTTATCGTTTCACCTGCTAGTCAGCACTCTGCAGACGCATTTACGGTTACGTAATTGTATGTGGATATAGAATCCGATCACAGTGCGTCTTTGATGTGTTTACACTTGGCTTCCATATGTTGATTCGGGGTGTAAACAGCCTTTTGAATTGTTTACTGTAGTCTATTTCACACAAATCAGAGTTAGACAACTTATAACTTAAACACTAAGGTTACATTCACATTTAAAGTGATGTCATTTGTTTTTTTGGTCAAATTCAATCCATGTTTTTTTCATGTGGCCAAAATCTTTTGTTAGTGTGAACAGACTTTTGCCCTGAAAGGATCCACATTGCACAATGAAGTGTGATGAACTGTAAAAGAAAAAGCATGAATTCTGACCGTTTTTATCATGTTCAAAATGAACAAAGTTGGATTGTGAAGTGTCTGATCTCCTATGAAATCTGATTAGAAAATCAGATCTTTTAGGCAAAAAATAAATTTGTGCCCATTTAACCTTATAATGTGAACGTTTACCTCTTTGGAGTGTTTGTTATCCTGATTTGTTGTAACCGCATATGTCAAATACTGACCAACTCTGGCCCTGGCCCAGGGTGTCATTCACAGTACTTAAAGCAGCACTGTCTAAGATTTTGAAAGTTTTTGTTTTTGTTAAAATAATAAAAAATATGGATAACTGCACCAGGAGCAAAACAAATGCTAAAATATGCTGCTGTGAGTCACCCTATGAAGGCTAAAACAATCATTTAAAAGTCAGGGGCATTGGAACGGATTTTGCAAGAGTTTTTCAGTTCAAATGATACGTGTTTACATATTGATATCACATGCCAGACTCAAAAAGAAGGTGCAGCTCGATGTTTAGGTCTCGAATGCAAAATTGGTGTCATTCTGATGAAGATAAGTCACCAATAGTAGAATATTCACTTAGACATGCCATTCACCAATTTACTGAGTTCTCTTTCGATACTTTCACAACATGCTTGTAATCATTAGATTCATCTGGCTGTAGACCGTTGTTACAGATGTTCTTCTGGATGTTGCATGCAATTGCACATTTCCACCAGAGAGGTCTCCAAATCCCCAAATCGTACACAGTGCAACTTTATTTTTGACAGTAGTTCCTGAACGATACTATTTTCGATATTGTCCTTTTAAAATACAACCTGAAAGTGGATGTGGCTTAGACCAGATTTTCAGTGGGACAAGCTTGCTTTTTGACAGATGCTAAAATTGACTACAACTGAAGTGTTGCTTTATCTTGAGGTGGATGAAACTTGTAGCTCACTGAAAAAAAGAGCTTCAGAGTTGGCATCATTGGCAGTGTGCTTTCCAACTGAATGAATCATTTTGTGTGCTGTGAAACAAACATATTGTGCAGAATTTCCAGAGAAGCCGCACCAGGGAAAGAAATTTCACATGCGAGAGTGTGCTAAGCGTTGCGTCAACACTGGTGAATTTATTGTGGTGGTTAAGGGATGGACAGGGGTGGGATAATTTTTATGAGTGAGTATGGGTGTGTAGTATGGTATGTTTGTGTCTATCTGGTGCATGAATGAGTCATAATCATGCATGAATACCGTCAGAGGAAGAATTTCTAAGGCTGTTGTCCCATGGGTGGCCAACACGCACAGGGCCATGAATATAGATCCTGTATGCATGGAGCCTTATCTGAACAGTGGCTGCAGCTTCAGTAACCAGCCTTTTGTATAGTACATCTATACGTTTGAGGTGCTGACTATTAAACTGGCATTTTATGTGTGGCATTAATGGTTTACTGTGCCAAACAATAAAACTGAAGCTTGTTTACAGGAACAAACATGGCCAGCTGTACTGTGCATACGGTCACCCCCTCTTTGCCATTTTTATTAGTGGGTTTACATTTTTTTTTATTTGTCTATGTCTGTTTCTCTTGATCATACAGTTATTAGGGATGCCCGATGTGGAATTTCCAGGCTGATAACAATAACTGATAATAACACCCAATAACACGTTATTGTAGATTAATAATTTTTATATCGAAATCACAATTTTTGAAAGAGTGCAGTTTTCCAATTGCTTGAGGTGTTATTTTTATTATAGATAGATATGCTGGTCTTCTTGGTCAAAAAAGCTGGCCTGGACCTCATTTTATAGAAATTTAAATAGCAGTCATAATATTAGTCAGAAAAATCAACATTAGATGGTTTGCCCAAATCATTTAGCCCTACCAGTAAGTGACATAGTATGTAAACATGGGTTAGGTTTTGAAACTTCAACATTCACTCTATTCCAGAAAACTGAAAAAACGCAGAAACCAACTTATATACGTATATTTACCTTTTCAGCCTACAGCTGGTCAGCACTGGCCGTTCATGCTAAAGGAGTGTTTCAGCATGGACCATTTTTAATAAGAAACAATACAAGACAACCATTTAGAAAAGAGCTCATTTACATTTATCCGTCTTAAAGGCACAGTAACAAAAACAGCCTATTTAATTCTAAGAGATAACAAGAAGTTGGAAAATGATCGAACTAGAACTGGTTTTGGAATGTAAAATCCTGTTAAAGGTGGACCTCAGGGAACAAAATAAAATGTAAGAAAAATATGAGAGTTGGGCCTCTTAGTTGTATTTGGTCATGATACAGTAAACTCAGATGTGACCGTTTTTTTATATTTAGAAGATATCCACTTATGATGGGAGGTGAGTGTAGCATGAGTCTTGCCCAGGTTCTCTTAAATGGTATAGTGGTGGTGTTTCCATCTAAAAGGGGAATTAAACCTCTAATCTTCTGTATTTTGGGTGGTGGTGTTATGTTCTAATGAATGGAAATGTCCAGCTGTAGTGACACAGAGTACATGTGCTTCAATGTGTGCAAAAGCTAAAAATATGGCACTAAATTATTGTTTGCAGTTATTGGCTGTAATTCCAACAGAGAACCAGTAATATTCATGAAAGTTTCCCTTTTACTGGTGAATGACATCAGCCGCCATTATATCGTGCACCTCTAGTAGCTGTAGCTCACATATTTTCTTTCTCTCTCTGTGTAGATGACTCATCCGTGTATGAGCATATCACTGCAGTCAGTGTACCTTTGCTGAGAAACGCACAGTCTCTGAATTGAATCTTACACCCTTCAAGCCTGTGCCTGACACCACATAAACAAATGGTCATTTCTTTATATATATCAGACATTGATTTCTTCTGTATTATTTGCGTTATTTCTTTGCTGTTTTTACATATGATTTATATTATTTAATCAATATATTTTTATACAGAGTGTATGTTAAATTGTGTGAGTGGATTTTTTTGCTTTTTGCAGGTTTAGAACTGAAATATTGGTTGAGTGTGGTTGTCCTGTTCCTGTGTACTAAAGGTGTCCTTGCACACTAGCAGGGTTGCAGATTTTGACATTCTTGGCTAATCAGATGATTTATTCTAGAAAGAGGCCATTCCCGAAATAATTTGGGAATTGTTCATTTATGATTAAAGTATCTTTAAATGTCATTCCAAGAAGGAGCGCAAAAAACAACATGTAAGTCTTTTCGTGATTGATTTAAAAAAAAAATAATAAGTTCAGGAAAATTCTTCTTCATGGTGATCGATTATATGTCACTGATATGGCAGATAGAGATTAGACTGTGTTGAAGTGCTGGAGTATTTCTTTAAAGTTAAACTCACCTAACAGCAGTAGCAGCTGTAACATTCCTTAAAAGCAAAAAATGGATTTCAGGAATCATTTTCTTTTAATAGTTCTAAAATAGTGCAGTCTTCTAAACTCCAAACCTCCAAGTCAAAGCAAACATTTCCAAATCTAACCTGAAGGATGTGCGTTATTTTGAAGTGTTTTCCATAAAAAGAATGAACTGAAGCACGGCGCAAAGGATCCAACACTACACTAAATGATGGACAGCTGCGGGAAAAGGAGATGCATAAAGGGTACAGGTCAAAGGTTAAATATTAACCTCACCACCCTCATCTGTCCTCAGTTATGTGTGTGTGTGTATGTATGAGCCAAATTCTCAGTGTTTTTTTTTGTTTGTGGTGTGTGTGTGTGTGTGTGTGTGTGTGTGTGATGACCCTTGTGTGGACTTAATGGGATATAATGTAGATATTTTGGGAAGGGGATCATGTACATGATGTGTATCTCTGTAAAATAAGATGAAACTGAGATTCCTATGAATGTGTAGTTACTAGAGATGAATGGCTGTATGAAAACTCAAAATTAAATTTAACTGTGCTAATTTCTCTCACTTGTGTTTACTTTAAAGTCAAGTTCTTCACTCTTATAAATAAAGGTCCTTAAATGGTTCCTTGAATGTAAGCTCTGGGAAAGCACTTTGGTATAGAGCCTTTGCATTATGGTTCTTTATATTTTTAACAGGATTCTTCACACTAGCACATCTGATCTTCAAAAATAGTTTCTTCAAAGAACCACCCACTGAAACGTTCTTTATGGAAAACAAAACTGGTTCTTCTATGGCAGAGGTGCCCAATCCTTGTCCTGGAGATCTACCACACTGGAGAGTTTAGATCCAACACACCGGGCTCCAATATTCAGCTGTCTACTACAGTGCTCTGTTTACTGGATTACCTAAAAAGAGTGTTGACTGCTTTCAGCTTGTACAAAGATCTGTCACAGATCTGTCTCTTCTAGATAGTTTTAAAAAGGAACTTAAGACTAATTTTTGCCTGTTGTTATTATTCTTATATTCCTTGTTTTTGTTGCAAACTGGATTTCTACAGTTGTTTACAAAAATATGAACACTCCTGGTCTTACATGTTTTGTTGATTTTACTACAGGGAACAAACTGAAATATTTCCTGAGGTTAACATATTAGAAAAACTAAACAAAAATAAAACATGCCGTAACATTTTCAATATGCTAAATTCAGAAAATAAACTGTTATTGTAGATTAAAATGTGCAGAAGTGAATCAGACAACCAACAAAACATTTTGACCACCAGCAACTAAACTTTGGCATATGTGTATGTATAAAAGATGTTAAATGCCTCCAAACAAAATTATTATTATTATTATTATTATTATTATTATTATTCAGGTTGGCATGTTGTGTATTGTCTTTACATGTACAAGTTATGACTGCCTGTTATTTTTTAAGTCATGAGTCTCACTATGGCCACTAGGTGGCGCCTAAGCACCGCGCGCCACCTGCACATCTCTTCGCTTTAATGTTCGACGTTAAATAACCAGAATTTGTTACTACAGGGATGATTTGATTGGTATTTTTCTACCAAACAAGCGGTGAACAAACAAACAGTGCAGCACAGACTCTCGCAAATATGCTCTCCACTCAGGCCAGTGCAGAGGACAGTACTGGACAGTAAAATAGGAAAACACACCACAATCTGTGGTACTGCAGGCCTGTGAAAGACAGAAAGACGAAACTTAAATCAGACTATACCTGCCCAAATAAATGTAAATAAAATTCGTGTAAAGATTTTAATTCAATCAAAATGTAGAATAAAACAAAACAAAATAGGTTAGGGACGTATTTCTTTAGTCCTTCATTTCTATGAATCCAAATATTGGGGAATATTGCTTCAATCACTAATTCGGATTCTGCAAATGAATGAATGAATTAAAGAATGAATGAAGGAATAAATAAATAAATAAATCGACAAACTGTCGTTTATAGTAGAAACTGCTATCTTCCGTTCACAGTGTTTTTATTATTGTTGTTACAGCTTTTTCAGGAAGACTGTCGTTATGATTGTAAAATCAGACCGCAGCTCAGTGCGGCTTGCAGCGCTGTTGGTGTTTTTGTTTCTGCTCACTCCAGATAATGCGTATGCTAGAAATATGAGTTTCAAAAAACGACAGCATCTGTGTTCACTCTTTAGAGGTAGGATATACACGTGGAAAACCTGGAGAACAATATTATTATTTAGGCACCAAAAAGCCCAAAAAAGACCATGTTTTCTAAGACACGATCTGAACAAATACCTCAGTGAAAAGGCGAACTGGGTTTAACTAAATATTTACTGATGTCTTGTCAAACGAAACAGCTGACAGAGCTCGTTATAAACCTTTATTCTTTATCTGTACGAGCCTTCTTGTTTCCACAAACGGCTCATCACTGTTAAACTAAAAACCGGTCTGCTTTGTTATGGATGAAGAGCCGGTGCTTATTTATGGTCAAGAATGTCAGCTGGCTGTGGGAAAACTATGGAGGCTATAGATAAGTTATAAATACGATGTGCTATATGTTGGCTATAAACACGGCATGTTTTAGGGTTAAACGGTCATTTCAGGGCAAGTGAAAGAAAAACAGCCTAAGTGCAAATTCACCTCAAAGCAGTAATGGCTCAAATGCAGTAACATCAACCTGCTGTTTGTTTTGTTTTGTTTTTAAACGCACACTGAGGCAGTTTAGTCCACATTTGTCTGGTGAAATGAATCAGTACGTCTGTCTTTCCTCTCGGAGCTGAATGAACTCTTCCGTCGCATTTGCACCGTGCAGAGAGAACAATGAGGGGATTCAGCCCCGCTGCTTTTACTGTACAGTCTAGACTACAATGAAGGAGAAAGCAGCCAAACACACACTTCATCATTATTTGGATGCACTTAGCCGAGTGTGGAAAAAGCAAGTGTTCCTTTTAATGACAAAAAAGAGATTTAAAAAAATTGTGCAAGTTTTCGGTCAAGTGTTTTTGTCGAAAAACAAAACATTGCTCTTCTCAGCAGGCTCTGTAGCTACAGTGGAGTTTGTGCTTTGGCGCCAGGATGAGCAGAACAAGACAAACCAACGACTAAAAGCCCTAACCGTAGAAAAACAGGCTACAACCCAGTGTCGTTCTGGTGATCATACAGGCACTCCGCTGACCACACAGATGCTGCTGGACAGTTTCCCCTTCAGCTAAAGAGAAGGCAGGCAGGCTCACAGAAACGGTCGAATCAACAATTTGGTTGACTTAAAAATGATAAATACAAAATACAAACAAACACGTAGAGATTTACATGAAGGTAATACTGCCTACATTATTACACGCTCATAGAAAATTTAACCCATAACGAAAGGCAGTAAAACCTGGCCAAGAATACCATTCTATTATTATTATTATTATTATTATTATTATTATTATTATATTTGTATACTATATTTCAAATTAGCCCATTACTAGAAAACCATTTTTCATCTCATTTAAAATGAATGGTATTCTACAGAGTACAGATTTGTTTTCACTGGGATTATGTTGTCAGAAATATAAATGATCTGTTGGTAAAACAATGTCAAGTACAGAAATGATGCAGAAATGATGACCAATCTCCATTTCCACCGCTTTCAAATCGTGGCCGCAGATCCTCCTTGAATACCAATGTGAAGGCCTGTAGGACCGACCAGCCGTTAAAAAAGAGCTTCCAACACTGCAGAAATAAAGCTGCGTTTACAAACGTAACATGGGCTTTAAATTTCATTCTCTACGAGCTAACGCTCATTTTGACTGCAGATCTGTCTTGTTGTTTTGCTGGTCAGTTGCTTTGGCGTACTGCACAGCCGTCACTGACGAATAAACACTGATCTGAATGCTGACTGCAGTGTGTAATTATGCTGCACATTGACAAGGGTTTCAAGGGTTTCTGTTTTGTCCAGCAGTGGGGCGAGTCCGTGATCTGCATGAGATTGGACTCCTTTGCGAGTGCAGTACAAGGTAACAGCACTTGGCAGCCTTTGTTAGGATTAAAACTGAAACCAGCAAAAAGAAGAGGTAGGATGGAAACACTACAGTGCTGCTGTCAAAGCCAAGAAGTTAAATAGATATAGTGGAATAAACATAATAATAATAATAATGCTTACAAAAATATTAATAACAACATTAATAATAATAATAATAATAATAATAATAATAACAACAAGCTCTGTAGCTGGGGTAAAATGGAATGGCAGACCCTGCATCAGTACTGACACGTTATTTTGTGGCCATGACGGGAAGACGGCGTGCTGGGCGCCCTTTCCCATACAACTCGCTTCCCACTGGTCACTATAGAGCGCATCCTCGGGCTTCATCTTGTTTACTCGAGTGTTTTTGTTTCCATACGGATCGATCGACCTGCTCCTGCAGCGTTTCCTCGAAGCGCCTTCGCCCTGTCCGCCACTGTTTAATAACAAAACGCGCGGCGTCCCTCAAGGGTGTCATATGGGCTCCCTCACGTTTTTGTTTTTTCTTATCTTTTCTGTTCCCTCTGCCGCTAACGGCACAAATAAGAATCAGGTTCGACCCCCAGGGGTCACGGCACCGGTGTCCGGTCGTCGTGGTGCGGCGGGGTGTCGCCGTAGGAGTCCTTGGCCAGCGTTCCGCACTGGGGCGTCATCCGTTTCTCCTTCTGCCGCCTGTTGCAAAACCACACTCGGACCACCTCCTTGTCCAGCTGCAGGCTGTCAGCCAGGGAGTTGATCTCGGACGCCCCGGGCTTGGGGCACTTGAGGAAATGGCTCTCGAGCGCCCCTTTGACAGCCACCTCGATGGACGTGCGCTTTTTTCTCTTTCTGCCCTGTGCGGCGATTTTGTCCAGGCTCGTGGGGCTGCCCGAGGTCGAGTCCGCCTCCTCCAGCCACTTGTTCAGCAGCGGCTTAAGCTTGCACATGTTCTTGAAGCTGAGCTGCAGCGCCTCGAACCTGCAGATGGTGGTCTGCGAGAAGACGTTACCGTAGAGCGTGCCGAGAGCGAGGCCCACGTCCGCTTGCGTGAAGCCCAGCTTGATGCGCCGCTGCTTGAACTGCTTGGCGAAGTGCTCCAGGTCATCGGACGTGGGCACATCGTCGTCCGAGTGCTCGTGACCGTGGCCGTGGCTTAGGCTGTGCGGGTGACCGTGCTCGCTCTCGTCGCGCGCGTCCCCGCTCAGGGCGTGCCGGTGCGCGCCGTGCTCATCCTCTGCAGTCAGACCACCGTAGCCCGGCTGGGAGTACATCATGCCCTGTCCGTTGGACGCAGTCATGCCGGCGGCCATGTGCGCGGCGCTCGTCGCCCTCCAAGCTGCCGCCTGGTGGTGATGCGCGCCCTCGTGCGGATGAACCAAGTGAGTAGCTCGCGACTGCTGCTGCTGTTGCTGTTGCTGCTGCAAAACGGGCGAATGCCGGAGCTCGTCTGCGTCTCCTTGCAGCGCGGGCTTGATGTCCTGCTCGCCGAGCGGACTCGAGGACCACGGCGAAGAGTCTCCGTGATGCGAGAGCGCCGCAAGCCACTGGTGCGCGTGTCCGAGCGCGTTGGTGCTGCTCTGCAGCGTGGCGTACTCGCTCTGCAGCAGCAGGCTCTGCGCCGCGTCCCCGTAGGACGGCGCCTGCTGCGCGCTCACCGCATCCGAGGGCGCGACAGACGCGCTACTCGTGAGCACGCCGTAGTGGTCGGACGCCGTGGCCGCCATGGCTGCGAGCGGGAGAGGCGCGAGATCCGTCGGCGGCGGCTGTGTTGGAGGTGCTGGTGATGGTGGTGATGGTGGGGGGCAGCGGGAGCGCCGCTTACTCACTTTTCACTTTTGTGCCACAGGCGGCTCCCCAGCGCCGAGCCGAAAGGACGCCGAGGCGCGCGCCCCCCTGAGGTCCGCCTCGCGCCGCGCTGCGCCGCTATTGGTCGTAAGCTGCTGACAGACGCCGTTGCCCCTGACAGCGGCACGCTGATTGGTCGGCGGGAGATCAGAGAGGGCAGAACAATGAAGGGAACTTTTCCGCCGGACCGACACACCAGAGGCACACTCAGCCACTCTGCCAGCGCCTTAAACCTCAGAATAGTCCAAAATCTGGAAATGTATCTCACAGTTTGGACCAGCTAATATGGGCTACTAAGTTATGCACAGTGCATTTATTTGTTGTTGTTTTAGAGCTGCTTTATCGTGGCACTTTAGTAACACTTTGGCAAAAATAGCACTTTAAAGTATCATTACATACAAAATTACATACAACATTACATAGAAAAAAATCTTTTTTGCTTCATATTTCGTTGCTCGCGCCGTCTGTTTTGAATGACGTAAACTGTGAACGAAAAAGACCAAAAGAATTAAATCAGAATTTCGCACCAAAAAATCAAGAAGGATCAGTAAAGGTCAGGTACTGAATCACATGCTGTAAAGAGCTTACAGGATAACTGAAAAGCACTTCAAAAACACGTTATGAAATTATTAAAAGTTCCCACATTGAAAACCTAAAAAACATCTATGAGATTATGTTAAAATTAAATGCATGTATTAATAGGAAAACATTAATTAATTAATAATTTTAATAATAAATAATAAGAAAATAATAATACGGTTAAACAACACGTAATTCATAAAAAACAACAACAAACAAACAACAACAATATAATAATAGTAATATAATAATAATAATAATAATAATAATAATAATAATACTTATTATTATTATTGTTGTTATTGTTATTTATATTGTCATTTATTTAGTAGTGGGCTGGTCATACTACTACTACTACTACTACTACTACTACTAATACTAATAATAATAATAATAATAACAACAACAACAATAAGCCCCCTCCTCCACGTATTCCTCGCGCGTTTCCCGCGCCTCTGACCGTTGCTATGGTGAGCTGTGAATGAAGCAACGCCGCCCACGTCACAGCTGCGCGAGCCTCCTCTCTTCCCGCCAAAGGCCCATTTTAACGGCTGGCTGAGGGACAATGGCCGGAGAAAGCAGAGGGCGAAGAGAGTTGAACAGCTGAGGAAAAGTGTAGCACCTCTATCAGTGCGGATCTCTCACCGGCTCTACCCAGAGCCTTCACTGCAAAGAGAGAAACTACCTAATATCAGAATGCTCCTCAGATGCTCCTCTGAAATCCGCAGCCTACACGACAAATTAATAGATAAGCTAAATAATGAACTGCTCAAAGCGAGTGACCATTTCTGGTAATTGGGATGTAATTGTTATAATTACAAGCCGTCCATGCTTAGACACTCGTGTTAGACTCAGACAGAAAACACATTACCTTAATGGAGTCATATGAAAACTCGGGTTCGTTCAATTACGTGACTTAATAACATATAAATGATGCGAAACTCGTTATTAGAGCGAACAGGCTAAGCATTAATTTCTTCAGCTTATAACAGCGTTTATGATTATTTTATGTATCGATAGTCTCCTCTGATCTATTTTTTCTTCTTTAAAAGTTAGCCTACAAAATTAGTGATGAATTATCTAAGCGTTAAATTAACAGTAATTAAATCGACCCCATGCCACAGTGATTCAATTTCTCACGGTCTAATTGGGTAAAACAGTTTGTTAGCCGCCCAAAGCCCATAATAGCTTAATAGGATGGTTGATCACGGTCATGCAGTGATATGGGGAGGTTAGTGGTTTGTGTGTATGCAGATGTGGAAGTTAGTGAGTGCTGTTAGCTCCAACAAAACGGCTCAGATTTACACACAAAAGTAAGGCTCAAATCTCATGATCAAATCTTTTGAAACAATCAGAATTTAACTGGCTGTGGCTAACCATGAGTCTTATTCAAATACTTAGTCATAATAAGGTGTAACAGTGTTAAAGAAGCTGATTTTTAGGTTTCATGCAAAAGGAGTCTGTAAAGGTGAAATACGGCAAGAACAGCAAATCCCAACGATAAATATCATTGATAGTTTTACTTAATCCCACATTTTTATCATGCTAAGATGTTAGTAGCATTCAACATACTGTCTGATGCGTCGCGTGAAGTTATGTTCATGAGTCTCTCAAAGCTTCATGGGCTGCAGGAATGAGGTGCATAAGGGCAACTTTTGTGTTATTGTTACGTCATGAAACGCTTTTCACAGTAAATGATCGGTGTCGTCAGTACGGAACAACTGCGTGCGTCATAAAAAGACTATTTTCAGCCGTATATAAAAATCCTGTAAAAAACAACAACAACCAGTCTACAGAGCAAATGTTTGTTAACAAAAACCTGGCTATACTTCCAGGTGGATAAATCTCATCCAGTTAGTGTGGAAGCAGCTCAGTCATTAGCAACATTGTAAAATCGTGTTGTTTGAGATTGTAATGTCAGATGCACCCAAAGTACATATGGATTTCATTTAAGTTTTCCCTGTATTCCAGGTTCCTGTGTTCAAAGGCAGACAGAGCTTCTAGAAGTAATGCTAGTATTAATATCAGTGAGAGGTCCTCTGTCTTTGGTAACACTTAGAGCTGAAGCCAACAGAAATTTAGAGAATCTTTTTCTGTCACCATAAAACGTTACAGTCACGTTACAAAGTTAATGCTATTAGCATTACGCTAGTCCCTAGAGGAGTGGTTTTGCTGATGTTTTCACACTTTCTACACATTCTACACATGACTCTTTGAAATTTATGTGTGTAGAACCATGCAGTTTATCGTTTCATATAAGCCAGTAGGTTAAGCTAACTAGCTAACAAGGTAACAAATTAGCCAAATTAGACACTTCAGAGTAGCATAAAATGACCAAAAAATGAAAATTAATTTTTTGATCACAGTTAATATAATGGTTTCTTGCAGGTGCAGGTGGAAAATAAACTAGAACTAAAACCTTAAGTAAGGTGCAGTATAAAAAACACCCTCATAAAGTGAACAGTTCTTCATTATTGAAATGGATAGCTACTGCAGGTTTACAAAAAATATTAACTATACAACATTGTGAAGTTATCGACCTAGGTCGGTCAGTGTAGTTTTTAATATTCATCTCATTATCAAATATCACAATATTTTGTGATAAAATCATTTTGTGATAAAATTTTGTGATAAAATCACAAAATCACTGAAAACACTGAAAACATCCCAAATGTCCCACAGGATTAGAACAGATCCTGTTGTAACAATGCAGTGCTCCTGGCGTTGTCCGTCCAGAAACAAGTTCTTTGCTGTTTGCTGTGCTGCTGTTTCATCCTGTAGTAATGCATAAACTGCACAATAGAAAACATCTGATTGTAAGTCAGTCCATTAAGAAATCATCTTTATTTTAGTCATTTCTATTATTTGATTTTTTCCTGTTTGTCTTTAAATAGTTTTAAGAAAGCAGACACTGAATTAACAAAAATAAATTTCATATTTCAAATTTCTTATTTAAATGCAACACAACACTTTTGCTGGGACAGTCTGTCAACAAAAAACAAATATTGTCAAAATATCTTAATATATCATGATTCTATATTTAATTTCCATCATTGCAGAAATTTCTGTGTGCACCTCTCGGGACCCCCAACCATTCTCCATAGCGCTTGTTTGAGGTGAGCCATGTTTTAGATATAAGTGGGGTTGGGTTAGCAGCCCCCACTGTCCCCACATTCACATGCAATTAGGCCTCACAAAAGCCTTGTTAAATGTGTAATCCCGGGACTCCTTCTCCCTTTGATAGTGTTGGCCAGCTGTAGGGGAATTGGCATTATCCTCCTTATAAAAGACCTTCAGCTTAGTTCAGTGCAACGGGTTCCCACTGAGTACAGCAACACTGGGGTCAGCACTGAAAACTCACACACACACACACAGCCCACACAAAGACTCGGCCCTGTATTAACACACACCTCATTAGATCAAATGCTCTCAGCTCAGCAGTACACAAAAGCTTGCCACCTAAAGCTGCCTACTTATGTAGAGTTAAAACCAGCCCCCTCTCAGGTTGTAATGCCCACTCCTGAGCTTCAGCACACTGACCATGTAATGGACCATTTGGACTATTCTTACTAAAACACAAGCTCATGCTCATCTATGTGTGCAGAAAATTTGTTATAAAATATGTAGATTTGTGAGAGGGCTTGATACAATATATGCTGGATTTGTATGACCTCTCAGGATTAAAATATGTGTTTTGAATGGAATTTGAACAGCAAAAATAAAGTTGCTGTTCGGCATACAGCAGTAGAGGCACGTTTTAACCATGACAGAGGAACTCCACTGTTTTTGCATAATTCAATTATTGAGACGTCATCCAGAGTGGGTTGATGTACAATAGTGAGGAACTTAGACTAGCCATTTTATTTACTATCCAAAATGATAAGTTAACCTGTTCTATAAATAATATTTTAATATATTAATATTTTATATTTAAACTTGATCATGGTAAAATAGCAGTAAACCCCCAAAAAGTTTTTTTTGGGTAAAAGTTTGCCTCACAATGTCTCACAACACATTGAACCTTATACTTGTTTCTCAGCCATTAAACTTAAGACTTATTATTCAATAAATACTACTATTATGGTATGCATATAGTTAGGAGTTATGTAGTTATGAGACTGAGGAACTGAAGGGTAGACCTTTGGGGTTTAAGGGGTTAAAAATAATCTCCAACACTCACTTTTATCTTTCTCTGCAGCTCCACAGCGCAGTGTAGAATCAGAGCGGTTGGCGCTGAGCATAGGATTATGCTCCCATCACTAAGAGTATTTTATGCGCATTATGACAGACAGTGGTGCTG